ACTGCAGGCTAACTGCAGACAATGACAATCTGTAAATACCTGTGTGTGTAATTCATATAAGGTACACTGAGCATCTTGTTATGAGCAAAGCAGTGTACTAGATCCTGGGGCTGCACAGATGTCCACTTTATGGTTCCTGGCCTCATCAGTTCGAGGAAACACATGTCATACACCAACATCATTCCAGTATGAAATACAGAACTAATCATAGCTAACATGTATTTATTTGTTTATTTAGTTATTTTTTGAGACAGGTTCTCACTGTGTAGTTCAGGCTGGCCTTGAACACACTATGTAGCCCAAACTGGCCTTGAACTCACAGCCATCTTCTGGCTGCAGCTTTCTGAGTGCTGTGTTTCCAGGAGTGCACCGCCACCCCCGGCTCATGAATGTTAGTTCTTATTATATTGCCCAGCCTAGCCTCAAACTCCTGAGCTCAAGCGATCCTCTTGCTTCATCTTCCCAAGCAGAATTACAGCTAAGTACTTAGAATAATTCAGGTAACAACTATAACAACAACTCTATGAGCTAAGACTCATTTTTGTGCCTCTTTGCAAATAAGGAAACCAGACCCTGAGGCATCACACACTTGAGTCAGGATTGAACTCAGACACGTGGCTGGGGCATCGATACTCTCAACTTCCATAGTATTGCTTCTCATAGTGGGTTCCATTATCACTGTTTACTGAAAAAAGTAGAGTGAAAGGTCAGTGCAGTTGTACCTGCGTATGGCCCCAGCTACCCGAGAAGTTGGACTGTTTGAGACCAGGAGTTTGGGGCTGTTGTGTGCTATGCTGACTGGGTGTCTGCACTCAGCTCAGCATCAGCAGGGTGACCCAGGAGCAGGAGAGCACTGAGTTGCAATGCTGGTGAGTAGTGGGATCGTGTCTGTGAATAGCTGCTGCACCCAAGCCTAGGCAAGGTAATGAGACCCCGTCCCAAAAGAGAACAAAGGAGATGAAAAGAAAGAAGCAGATTTTTAAATGCCAGGTAACTGAAGATTCAAGATAAATGGATTTTTAAAAACTGCATTTTCTTCATTACTTGAGAGATGTCCAGCTTAGAAATAATCAACTGGAATTTCAGAGCCAGCTTAGGGATCAGAGGTGGATCCTGGCTCAGCCCTAAGTTCCCACCTTGACTGGTCAGCCTGGGAAATGTGGCCTGAGTGTGGGGTTTGGTGTCCCAGAGATGTGGGCTTGAATCCTAGGTTCCCACTGGCAGCTCCCTGACCCTAGGATTAATTTGCCTGCTCTTAGTTTCTCTTCTGTGGAAACAGAGAGGTGATACCTCATTGTCATCAGGAGGGTTAAATGTCTAGTGGGTATCTGCATTTCCTTTATTCTTTCTTGGTTTTTTGAGGTAGGGTCTTGCTATGTAGTACAGGCTGGACTTGAATAAGTAATCCACGCTGGCTTTTAACTCATAGTGATCCTCCCGCCTCAGCCTCCCAAGTGCTAGGATTACAGGCATGTGCCACCACGTCTGGCTGGCCTTTTTATCATCTTGTAATTGTTTCTGGAAACAATTATATTTAACCTATTTGAGCCTCCAGGACCTCAGGTGTAAGTTGGGGACAGTGCATCTTCACAGGGCTGTGGGGAGCAGTAGAAATGATATATACTGCTGTCATGTGAGCTACGGACCCCCATGAGCAGTTGCCTGTGGCTGTTCAGGGACCCCTGGAAGTGGGCAAAGGTGTCTGAGACAGTTGTGGTAACGAGAGGGATTGGAACTCCTTGACCAAGTGCCTGTCCTGTCACACCAGCCTCAAGGCCCACATCGACTGGCAGGTCCCTGCAGAGCTGCGCAGGGACAAGAAGGCCATCCTGGGCAGGGATTTCTGGAGTCTCTGCCATTTCCTGTGGCTCCAGTGGACAGAGGCTCTGTGGTGAGGCACCTTAAGCCACCTCAGGCAGTATATGGGTTTGTCCAACAGCGTGGAAAGGGATTCCCTGGCAGATCTTTGCCAATGGTTAGCTCACTCAGTTCTGTGACTGCCCAAAGCCTGTTTCCTCACCATGCATTACCTGTGGGATTGGAAAACTAATATTAAAGACAAGAAATGACTTCAATGCCTAGCAGACGCTCCATGTCAGGCTCAGCCCTCTGGAGAGGTTCCAGCACACACCCTCGTAACTTTCCAGGTTCAGCACCTGCCTTGCGATGGCTTTTCTCTCCAAACCCTACTGCCTTTGGGGTAGAATTATTTCCAGGAAGGCTGACGCTAATGGGAGAGCATTGGCTGTAACCAAATCTTGCAAAGGAGCCAGAGCCATCAGCAGCCATGGTGGGTGGGAGGAGAATATACCCATCAGCAGTCGGTTATACAGGTGCCAATTGACCTGCGAGGAAGCAGAGAACAGGGGTGTGTGACCTCTGTTACACAACTGCTGCTGTTGTGACTGCTGTTGTGACTTCATGTTGTGACTGCTGCACGCTTCATGTGAGTGCCAGCTCAGTGTGGGCAGGAGTCCTGAACAGGTCATGATTTTGGCTTTGACAGTGGGATGGGAAAACAGCAGGTGAGCTTAAGGACCACGCAGCACATGCGGATCAAAGCTGCTTTCATCTTTCCCAACTGTGTGGCCCAGGCTCAGCTGTGCAGCCTTTCTGGGCCTGTGGGTTACAGGCTGTGAGTGCCTCACTGGATAGTTTCAGGATTACATACACAAATAGACGAGGCTCACTAGAGTTGATCCAGAACCCTTGTGCCTGTATGGCTCAAACAATAACAAAGTGGTGACACACCTGGGGACAGCTGCCAGGACGAGGACGGGAAAGGCAGAGAGACTTCCTGCAATAACACCTCTCAGCCTTGTGCCCTGGAGCACGGATGCAAAGCATGCTGCAGTCCTCAGCCTTCTCCACCCCAGCCATGACTTTCTCCTTCTTCATGGCCTTTGGAAAAACCTGTTTTAAACCTGCCTGTAGTGTTTCCCTTACTGGCAGTAGGCTGGAGGAGACAGGATTGCTTTGAATTTTCAGCAAACACTGAAAAGACAGTTAGAAGAAGGATTCTGCTGGCAGCAGCAGGGAGAACACAATGAGAGGAAGAAGGACTGTTCCATTGCAGCTGCTGTGGTTCTTGGGGGAGCCAGCTGGGCAATGGAGCAGCTACCGGACAAGCCTCAGGTTCATCAGGATGAAGTGACTCTCGGTTCCAGGCTCAGGGATGCAGGCTCCTGGGTTTGTGGGCCCTCCTGGGGAAGAAGGCAGGAGTCCTGACTTCTGGATCATCCATTTGGTCTTGCTGCAAACAGTTTTAAATTATGTGTGTATCCAATGAAACACAAATACACTATAGAGGATGACACAACATTCACATTCACTTTTAGAATAAAGCAGGATTTAAAAACTTAATTACAGTCTAAACAGCCCTTTCAGACCCTTCCTAAACTCAGGTTCCCATTTGTCTGTGGTTAGGGATACTTCAGGGGGAATTGGGGGTAGGGGGAAAGACTAAGTTTCCCTATGTCTAAAAAAATTTGTTTTGGATAACTTCTTAATGAAGACGGGTGGTTATAAACTTTTTGTCTCTCCAGTTCAGGGAATTGGAAGCAGGGGGCACTGAGCTACGTCCCCAGCCATTTTTTTTTTTCTTGCTAAGTTAGCCAGAGTGCCCTGGAACTTCTGATCTTTCTGCCTCAGCCTCCTGAATATCTAGGATTACAGGCATGTCCCACCAGCCAAAAGTGGTTTACAAACTTATTTATGGCAAAATCTCCCAATGATCTCAGGCTTTGAAAGGATCAAGTCAACAGGCCAGAGGGGTACCTAAGCAAGGCAAAACCAAGAGCAACAACCAAGCATCCAACGGAGGTGAACATGCTCAGGAATAAGAACCCCTTCCTTGAGAGGCAGTCAAAGTCTTGAGAGGTAACAAGGCTTGTTTAAGGTCCCTGGCCAAGGTTAGGGCAGTGATGAGAACACTAGTGCCTTCTTCCTACCAATCTCACCAGGGGGGCAGCTCTGACCTCCCTGAATACTATTTGCTCACGAGACCTTAGAACAAAGTAAAGGCCCACAGACCCACCCGGCCCGGTCCTAAATCTCTGTCTGTACGCAGTCTTGGCAGGAGAGATGCCTGAGGGCCAATCCAGCCCCTGAGGGACAACCCCCCTCCAAGATAGCTCTGGCAGGGAGAGGACAAAGCAGTTCATGAAAATGCAGATGTTTCAGTTAGACTGAACCAGGATTTCTAGAAGTCGGTAGCCAGGTTCATGGCCTACAACAGAACTTCCACCACGCTGGGCTCCCTCATGTACTCAGAATGGGGGGCCCTGCCAGTCTCAGCAGCAGCAGCACGGAGGGCCTTAGCTCCCTCAATATGACAGGCAGGAGCCCATCCTCCAAGGTCTACCTGTCCCCAGGTGCACTATGCCGTGGGGACTTAAGGACACCTACTGTCAGCATAAATGTCTTTCCAGGTGTCCTGTTTTACTATCAATGTAACTTTGACATTTCACTCTATGAGAGAGCTGGAACAAAATGTTCTGCCCTTCTGCATGAAGCTCATGCTCTAAGCAATGCTTCTGCTGACCCCAGAGCCACTGATGCAGCACCCCCAGGGGAATGACTGAGGCAGGGACAAGCACCTTCAAGTTTACCCTCTAAGCTTATGCCCACCCCTATCCTGTAGATAGAGATGATGTCCTTCGGTAGGGATGTGAAGACCCCAAGCTCCTGGAGGCAAGGTGACTTGCCTTTGCTGGCGGCAGGTTTGATGGGCCAGACCCTCCTCATCCTCTGCTACCCTTCATCACAGACCCCTGTTGTAATTCCCCCTGGCTTTCAAACACTGAATCAACAGTCCCCCTGAGCAGTACTCAAATAAAAGCCAAGTGCTTCCCAAACACCCTTTTAAACAGTGTGTAATGTAGCATGCAGTGGGGCAGCCCATGCCAGGTGAGCGGTCCTGGACTCTAGGAACGAGCCTGGATGAGCAAGGACAGAGCCAGGACATCTGGCTTTGCCTGCAGCTAGCAGCGTGACCTTGGGGAAGTTCAACTCTGTAGGTTTTATTGTCTCTATCCGAGAAAATGAAGGCAGCCTAGGAGGTTTCTAAGCTTTTAGTACACTAGGGCTTTCCACACTCTGGACGCCACTCCCAGGAATCCTCTTGTGCCCCTTTCCTCTCACCACAGAAAAAGCCCAATACCGCCAATTTTCTATTGCTTTTTAAAAAGTAAAGTTTAAAATAACATTTTAATGCTCCAGGTTTTTAGACAAGGCAGCTGTAACATTGTCTCCACCACCACTGCCTGTTTCTTTCTCCCTGGGACACAGTGGCCCAGGGAAGCCCAGGAGCCCTGGGACACAGCATGTGGGCCTCTCTCTCAAAGGTCTCCTCCCACGTGAGTGACTAACTCTACGCATCCTAGTAAGTCCATCATCCTGGGGTTCTCCAGGCACCCAGGTTTCTGGGGATGGGGCTGGGATCCAGATATGCCTCAGGTCCCATTTGCTACAGAGTCACGTGGCTGCTTGGCTAAGGTTCCCCCAGGTTCCCAGCCAGTGCCGACAGCAGGAGACCCAAACAGTACTTTCCTCATCTTTAAAATGAAGTTCATAAAATGATCATCAAAGGCTGCCTGGAATTGCTCTCCGATCTATTCCCAGGCAGGGAGGCAGAGGAGAGTTAAGGAGATTATCAGGACAGGCACAAGAAGGGGAGACATACAGGGATGCTTCTTGTCTTGCATTGTCCACACCAGAGGCCCACAGGATGCTGAGGCCAGAAGGCACTGAAGGCCACAGTGTGGACGCCCACTTTCCAGAGCTAACGGGCTAGGGAGCACTTACTGAATCTGCAGCAGAGTTTGGGTTAAAACCAGTTCTCCAGACAGGTTTAAGAAGTATTTTACACATTTTAGAAAATCCGGTCCTTAGTTCTGCTTTGAACTTGCTCATCAACTTCCCTTCTTTAGATGACTCATAAGCTAGATAATCTACCTTAATAATCTAGTTTATGATTCAGAAATACCACGGTTGTAAATTCCTGCCATTAAAGTTCATGATTTAGCTCTAGTGCTGCAGGAGGGACTGGGTCACACCCTCCTGTAGGCAGTGGGGAGAAAAGAGGACTCAGGTGTCACGTCATCTTCTGTGTCAGCAGCTGCCTTGGGGGGTCACAGGGAAAAGGCAGGGCATTCAAGGCCCACCAGCCCAAGAGGCCTCAGAGTGAAGAGGGAGCACTGGGTAGCAGCAGAGATCCTCAGGGAAGCTCAGCTGGCCTCATTGATGGGAGTCCGGCTGCCACCCAGCAGTCTTTCGCGCTCACTCTCCTGTGCAGGGCGCCAGCACCGGGATAGGTAGGCCAGCAGCGGGTGGTGCAGCCCATTGTAGAGGGCAGTGCCCATCAGAAGGATGAGGAAGCCGAGGATCTGCAGCGGGTGGAAGTCTTCCCAGCCCACAGCCAGGCTTACGGCCCAGATGACCACGGTGCGCAAGCTGTCCAGCACCATGCGGGTAGTGGCACTTAGTTCCTTGGTGACGCTGATGCCCGCAAAGTTGAAGAAGGCAATGCTGCTAATGTTGCCCAACAGTGCCAGGGCAATGAGTGGCTGACGGCCAATCTGGCAGAAGGCATCCAGGACATCCTCCAGGGTCCCTCGAGGGTTTCCACTGAAGGAGCCAGCAGGGATGTAGTACATAGGTACCAGGAGCAGCGACAGGATCACGAAGCCGAAGAGGCCTGGGGCGGAGCATGGAGGAAGCAGGTTACTGTCTTCACCCTGCCCCAGCCTCTCAGCATGACCCACTGGCACAGCAGCCCCTGAACTCAGGGCCGCTCCTTCTGTTCGGCTTGCTGTGGTCCACTCCTGGGACCCACCCCTGACCTCTCTTAGGGAACGTGGACTTATGCAATGGGCTCTGGCTACCCTTTCTCCACCTCAACCCAGTGGCTTTTGATTGGACCAAGAATAAGAAATCTGTTTTATACTGTGACCCCTAGTGCATGTCGTCAGGCACACACGTACGCACACACATGCACACACACTCCCAAAACAACAGCTCCCCTTACTATGTACAACGCTTGCTGACTTTTAAATTCTATTCTGTTCACTTGAAAAAGAACCGCTGGCTTCAACTCACTATTCTGCTCTTCTAAGTTTGGCAAAACACAGCTAATTCGGTAAGCAATTGGTCTGTGACAGGAAGCTAGCTTGTGCCAGGATGTAAGTGCACAGCTTCATTCATAAAATCTTACTAGAAAAGAAAAACGAGTGGGAACAAACAGTACGCTTTTGATGTAACTGATTTCCATTCAGCCATCAGCAACTCTGCCCACACTGGGCCACAGCCAAAGAGCCCCTGGTAGGCATTTGTCCATGGGCCACTCGACTAACACAGCTCTAATCTGTTTTGCTAATCTTATATTTTTAAAAGCATAATTTTGATAGTTGATTCTCTGCTCAAAAACCTTTGGTGGCTCCTCCTGCTGTCACTTAGCCTAAATCTACTTGCCTGACCCCAGGACTCTCCATGATAGGACTCTGACTAAATTCCTGCTTATTTCCCCAACAATAAGACCTGCATTATGCCCCAATTATTCACACTGGTTTCCAAACCTCTGCCTTGCCTGTACCCTACTCTTGCCTATTGGAATCTGTGACGCTAATGGCACCTTCCTTGCCCTGAGAGACTCAGACTTGCTTGGCAAGTGAGGCACCACTTGAGCACGACTGGTCCAAGCTCAAGTGCTCTGCCTGGCCCTTTCTTCTTGCTGGTTAGCTCCAATAGAAAAGGGTCATCTTTATCCTTGGTCTCCTCCAGCCCAGCACAGCAGATGTCAGAGCATCCGTCAATTCTCATCTAAGGAAGTCGGGACAGGGGCTCACTCTCCCCTCCCCCAACCAGCGACCACCAACACCTGCCCTTCGCTCCATATGTGTGACTGATGCCACATGCTGCCCCTCAGCATCTCCTCCCCTCCAGCCACTCCTCCCTGGCTGGCGCCCACACTCACCCTCTGTGCCCACTGCCCGGAGCGGGTGCACATTGTGTTTATAGACGAACTTCTCTTCTAGCACCATCTGGATGGCCACGATGATCTGGGCCATGATGATCAACAGGTCCCCTGAGGAAAGGAAAGGCAAGATGAAGCTAGGACTGCACGAAGGCTGGGGTTGGGGGTGGTGACTGGAGGGCCCTAGGGACAGAACACACCAGGTCCTAATTTTTCTAGTTCCTGTACAGTTCATGGTTCTGACTGCCATGCCTGATTCCCTGGTGCCCGAGGGGTAGACAAACTGGGCAGGCTCCTGGAGGTCTGCAGAACTGCCTGGCCTGAGGGGTGCAGCTCAGGGTATGTGACCTTGTAGGGAGTGATGTGTTTGAGACAGACGTTTCTGGTTCATTTCCGACTCTCAGTACCCCAGAGTGGTCACTGCATCATACAGTGGGCTGTGATGGTTCCCTTTGGGGACTGGGATTGGGAGGGCACCTGTGACAAGGATGACAGTCTCAGTGCCAGGCTGGGCACATGCTAAGTGGCAACTGGTGTGTGTGCTTATGAATCACAGCCCATGGCAGCCCCCCGCTCTGACATCCTGCTCCTCACCTGCCTTGCTCACACGGCTTGCCACTCTTTCCTGCTGCAGACACACACCTCTCCATTCTCCCCTACACTTTCTCCGACCCCTCGGTGGCAGGTGTGTGCCCTCACCCAGGACCTGCACACTGCAGGGTTGGAATGGATTAAGTCTGTGGGATGACCATGTTCCAGGCTCCTCAGAATGGGACAGAATAGGACAGGATGGGCAGCCCCTGGTTCCCACAGGGCCACACCTGTGATCACTTCGCTGAGCTTGTGCTCACTGTCATGCTTGCTCAGGAGGTCAGCCAGGCCCACGACCACCAGCCCCACGATGGTGGCCAGGATGCCGAGCCACTGGCTAGGTGCCAGCCGCCGGCCCAGGAAGGCCACTGAGAACAGGCCTGTGAATATGATCACTGAACCTCGTAGCATCTGGAAGCTGGAGGCACTGGTCATGTTCAGGGCTAGAAAAGAGACATGATTGTTAGCTCTTGAGGTCAAAGGCTGGCTGCCCCTGAGCTGGAGCTGAGCCAAGCACATGTACATGGAAAGCATCCAGTAACCTTGGTGCAGTGTGCGTGCATGTGTGGTGTGTGAGAGTTTGAGGGGATGGGGTGCTGTTTTACTGGTGGCCCTTTAGACCACAGCCTGGCCTGGTTACTCACCCACATACATGATGCTGGTCCCTGTCATGTCACAGAGGGCCGGGGGCAGGAAAAGAAAGGGGCTGAAGGGCTGCTGGGGGTCCACACTGGAGTCTGACTGTCTTGAGGCTCTGCACTGGAGTAGGTAGAAGGCAGCCAGGCAGGAGAACTCTCCCAGGAACATGCCCACTGCCTACAGGGACAGGAAGTTGAGGACTCAGTGAGGGAGGGACCCTGGGGGTTACCTTGTACAGATACCTTGGACTGTTTTTCACACCATTTTTCTTCAAGCAAGAGCTTACCTAGAATGCTGTCATGTCCAGCAAACAAAAGCAGAGCTGCTGTGGGAGGCCACACAGCCTCCTGGGTCTACCCCAAAGCCCCTTCGGGGCTTGTGATCCACCCAGCAGACCCCTCTTCAAATTCGAGATGAAGCAAGTGAGGCCCACAAAGCTTCAGACTTTTGGAAGGTCACAATGAAGTGGCTGACACAGCTGGGACTGAAATGTGAGTCAACTGATTCGCAGTCCAGCAATGGGATGTTTTCTACTGACAGGGACCACCCTGTCCCAGTGGATGCCTGAACTCTTCGTGCACGCAGGGCAGGCTGCTGCCACGGGACAGCGCATCCCACGCGTCCCGACTGCATGTGGTGAGGGCATGAGCACTTGTTGGCATTCAGGCCTCCCACAGAGGCCCGTGTCCTCCGTCCCTCTGCCAGGGGCACCTGCAGACCCTGGCCGTGTTCCAGAGAAGCACAGCGAAAGGCAGATGGCTCTCCTGGGAGTAGGGGAGCTCCGGCACAGGCCAGGAAACAGCCTGCCTCAGGGGTGCCCGCCTGAGGCCTAGGAGATGGGCGAGTGCTGGGGTCCGTACCTGAAGGAAGGGGTGCTGGAAGCTGTGCTCCTTGCTTCCTCTGCAGCCCTCGGCCTTGAATTTGTCTGCCCACCTGCAGCAGACAGAGAGCGAAGGTCAGCCTCGCAGCCCTGGGGCTCCCTCCTCCCTTGAGTGTGCCACGAGGTCCACACTCAAAGAATCAGCCCCCACTGGGGCAGCTCTCAGAGAAGCCAGACTCTTCAGCAAGGGTTTAAAATCTGCAATTCCTCGACTTACGAATGTGGTGTTGCAGCAACTCTCAGAAATCACATTAAAGTCACAGTATATAGGACAAAGTATCATTGATGTTCATTACTCATCAAAATTAGTCACTGGATCCAGTACTTGAAATTTAACATAGTAAGAAATACATGTGTATATATTACTACATTGCAAATTTGCTTTTCAGTGTCTGATAACTTTATTTTAACTTAATCTGTTTCTTTTGTAATGTTTGGTCTCTTATTTGCACATTTTAGAGAAGATGGCCACAGGCTGGGCTGTGAAAGAGATTTGAAGCACAAAAAGTGTCAAGAACCTCTGGTCACCAGGCATGGTGTTGCACACCTGTAATCTCCGTAGGAGAGGCTGAGGCAGGAGGATTGCAAATTTGAGGTTAATTTGGACTAGTAACACTTTGTTTCAAAAAACAAGCAAGCCAACAAACAAAAAATCCCACCAAAACAATAAACAAAACAAAAAAATTCTCTGGTCTAGAGGGGTACTGGGCCCCAGGAGAGGACTACCTGACATCCTCGTGGAACCCAAAAGGTCCTTCTGAGCCTGATCCCCCCCCCCCCCCCCC